TTTTAAACGACCCATATCAATCCGAAGCCCAAATGAAAATTGTTAAAGATATTTTTAAAATCTATAATTATTGACCCTCCAAAAAAAAATTCTAACTCGACCACTTAGAAGATATATGCAAAATAAATATGTGCATGAATACGTCTTTAGAAATTTTATCTAACCAAGCATGATTTTCGGTGTAATATTTGAGTTTGAAACCTATGAAATCAATCCAAGATCATCCTAACTCTATTTTTTTTTTTTTTTTGTAAACTTATATAGACGAATTAAACATCTTAACAAGATAAATCCACCGATACCAAAAGTTTTGCTTTTTAAATCCGGGTCTAAGTTACCGCAAATCGAACAGAAGCATAATTAGAAACTTTGTGACATTAATTTAATAATTATATGTTCTCCAAAGCTTACGTGCTCAAAACCACAAGGATTATCTAGATGAGGCGAATTCAATGACTGTAAGATAACTTAAAACTTATATCATTAAGATGCTTAAGCACATAAAGAATATTCTATTATCATAGGAATCAACATGAGTGATCCGATAATGTTTTAAGATTTTGGCTAAATATATCAAAATGTCGCTAAAATTTTTATAAATAACCCTTTATAGTTCATACGAGTGGAGGTTGAAGCTAAAATCTAGACTTAGATTAAAACTTAATATTATTTGATGTTTGATGATGATGATCGTTATCAATAAGCACAATAATCCAACTAAGATCTCCGAACAATCATCTCCTCACTATGATCATCTGACCATTGTCACATACATGACTATAGTATATATATATATATAGACTATCGTCGTCCAACCACCATCTCTCATATCTTTGTCAGTAATATAGTTAATGCATGACAACGCCTAAATGGCTAATTCTTTTCATAGACATAGATTCCAACACACACATCATTGACACAAATTTTAATGCCGACCGGCTTTATATCACTTCTTATTGTTAACAATATTGATACAAGTTATTGATTGTAAGGTTGATGTTCATTGTTAGCCCCAACATTGATGCTTGTCGACTTTTTGTCTATCGTCATTTGTTACCAGCAACATCGACACATGTACCAACTAAAAAATTTCAAAAAATGAATATGATTGAAAATATTAAAGTCTGTATTGGAGCACTACGACGTCGAAGTGCTCCAATACAGACTTTCATATTTTCAATTAAATTTGTTAGATGAAAATTTTAGGTTGCTATATATAGCACTTGTCATTCCCAAGAAGCCCGATGCACATTACCGACATCAACTCTAACTTACATCAACATCAAGATTCATACTAAACTTCACAATCATTTTTCTCCTCAAACTATCCATTAAAGCAACTCCAATACCTCAAGATGACTCCAAGTTCCAACATGGGATCATCCTCCATTTTGTATCAAAAAATGATCTGTCCCGCCAACTTGACCCAGAACCTACCCGAAAAATTTAAGTTTAGGTTGATCCGTTTAATAAACAGGCCAAATTTGGATTGTGCATTTCAGCCCGTTTATTAAATGTATCGGGTTAAGGTTGACTCGCTAACCAGATTTTGACTCGAAAAAGTCCCTCTTAATATTTTTTTCCAAATTCTTTTGTTTGTTGCCATGATCTCCTCATTTTACATCAATTAATCTAAAACATATGGCTAACAAGTTAATAAAAATATTTTTTTAATTAAAATAGGTTTTCAAGTCGGTTTTGATTGCTAGCAAGTCAGGTTCGGATCTACCTTTTTTATCGTTTTATTAAATGGGTCGCGTTCAAGTGGACGAGATTCTTGTCTGTCAATTTAGGGTCTAACCCGAACCCGTGTCGTGGACCCATTTTGACACCCATATTTTCATAGTTCATATCTCACATATTTTATCAATGTTTCTTAATTATATGGAAGGATATAATTTCTATGCAATGACATATTAAAAAAAAATCATTTCAATTGAAGCAGATCTTATTTTTAAAGATTTTTTCCTGTAAATATTTTGTCATCTTTAAAAACCTTCTTTTATATGTGCATTGAATATTTGTATAGCATTAAACTTTTTTTTTTTTTATGCCGTTAATATTCTATCACACACAGAATATATATATATATATA